TGTCGCTTTGTCTTTTGAAACCGAATACCATTATTGAGTCAGGAAACGAACAGTATTTGATGACAATAGACAATAAAATCTAAATCAGAACTCATTGAATAATCTAACTGAAAGAAAAGAAATATATTTGTTTTCTGTGAACAGAAGCTTCAATACTTTAATGAGAGAAAGAACAGATTCTGTTTTCAAAGCAAAAATATAAAACGGAAAAAATAGTGTTAAAAAAAACTTGCACAAAAACATTTCGATGTTTCGATGTTTCATAAAATTGTGAAAAATAGAAATGTCCATTCACACTTAAAAATTTGTGTTTTTATATTTTTAGAAAAAAATTGTGATATTAATAAAAAAAGAACGACCAACAGTAACACTTAACTATTTAATTACGGCACACAATACAGTGATGGTGGTACGCGTGGAAAAGAAATTCAGAAATTTTTAACTTGTTACAAATTCTCTCAAGCTTACTTAAACTAATTCGCAAAAAATGAAAATTGTACTGAATTATGTAATTATAAAAAAGATGTTTTGCGTTCTCGCAGTATGCTGTTGTTTCATTTGTATGCTAAATCTAACTTGTTTGAATTCGTTAGCCATTAGCTAATTGAAAACAATTTATAACAATTCATGTATGAGAAATCAGTTTTCAGCTTCATGGAAAATTGGCATATATACAGATGGGCAATGACAATTAAACATTTAATTGTGTTGATTTCCGTGACGTCAATTGGGGAAACAATTTTACGGTAACGTCCCATGCCTCGAGTTTTAACAGCTAAATTAAATAAGAAAGGAAGGACCGTATTGCTGGAAACATTTGAAGAAAATTGATTAGAATCCAAGCTTGTTTTGAAAATTTGCTCCCGTCCTTATATTTAAAGCTTGAAAATTGATTTTCTTAACTTGACCAAAATTTCAAAAGTAAGACTTTTTCATTTTTCATTTTGATTCTTTGGTCACTTTTTTTTTTTATTTCACATTCGTTTAGATTTTGCTCTATATAATTATGGTGAATTTTCTTCCAAAACGTTGTTACATATTATTTGTAATGTTTTTGTTATTATATGAATAGTTTACAGTTAAAAAGTATTTTGCACAAAGAATTAAGGAAACTTGAGGAAATGAAGTTTTTGATGGGAAATAGAATATACACATAGTGTTTTGAAATAAAACAAATATATAAGTTATTGATAAACCTCATCTAATTGTTGTATATAAGTTCAGTTACTTTTCGAGTAAGCAAATGCATGTATTTATAAACTTATACTTTTGTTATCATTTTGTAACACCTCAAGTGTGCATTTGTTTTAAATTAATTGTTTTGTCTTTGAAATCAGATTTTTGGAAACATGAACATTTTCAATTTTTGAATTTTACTAAAATATATTAACTGAAAATATAACACAGCAGCAATATAGGAGATGCGTGGTTAATTTGTAAAATATTTCAAGTAGAAACTTTAATTGTGTTCCGTCCACAGCCACTTAACTGTACAATTAAAAAAGTAATTGATCACTGACATGAGATATTATATAGGTTTTGGAATTAGCCCCAAAACACATAGATTTAAATACGGAATCGGAGACTAGTTTTTCGGAGCAAAAAAATGTGATTACTCAACAAAGTTCAGACCAATTAGTAATGTCTTTAAACAAGCCTTCCCCCCAGAAGACTGCAACGTTTTAAAGGTCTATACTTTTTTCATAGTTTGTACAGAAAGTAGGACACAAAGCATTTTTAAGTGAGTGATATCTTTTGAAGAACTAATTTTGAGTATTTGTTTTGTATTTCCCCCTTTATATTCCATTACTTCGTGAACTTGTTTCATAAATGATTTCATATTTAAAAGAAAGACAAAAAGTCAATTTCAATTAATACGCTTTAATTTAAGTGCAGAAAGTTGTTCGGTTTATCATAAGAGTAAAACGTCCAAAACTACTTCTTATGTAGCGAATAAATTTATTTACAATGTAAAATATTAATCTCACTTTCTCACGAAAAATTGATATAAAATTGTCATCTTAAACTCGTTTAATTTTTTGTCCGAACTTTCATATTTCATTTTTTTAACAATGAAACAACTTGAAAGAAAATGTCTATTTTTTTTTACCAAAGAAGGTATTGAAAACTCATCCAATTGGAAGATACAGTAACATATTGGTTGTAAAATGTTGCATTTTAAAATGTTCATTTAACATTCGTCAATAATCAACATACAAAAACATTTAAAAGAAATAAAATTTAATAGTAAATGTTGAAGTTTTAAAAGTATTCAAATGTACATTTCTCGGTGTCGAGTCGGCTTGACGCACACAGTATATCACTGTTTCCTTGAAAATTGTTCGGGTCGTTTTGAGATTTATTTACACGTAAAATCAATCATTATGAATTGTCAGGCAATTAAATTCTCATTTCTGGCTCCAAAGGACCCATAATAGGTTGTTTTATCTTTGGAGTGTCGAGAATTTATTACGGATACCGTATTGTCGGTTTCAACACCTACTTGGTTTTTATTTTGTTTTCCTAATTGTTAAAAAAGGATTTGATACAGAGTTTCAATTATATTGCCCTTAGAATTACATCAAGCTGATCACAATCAAATTTGGTATGTCATAGAAAATGCAAAGTATTATAAAATGACAAGGGTCGTTCTATAATCTGTGATATTATCCCGTACGCATCTTTTTAAGTCGGAAAAATGGCGTGGTTGCTGCAATAGCTTTCCCATTACGAAACGACTGCATAAAAAGATTTTGTCAATGGATCGGAAAATTTATGTTAATCACGGATAAATCGTCGAGGAATTGCGATTGTAAACTGCACGATTTAGTTTTAAGTATTATTAGTAAAACGTCGTTATCGTAAAGTGTTCATAATTGGCAAATGAACGGTTGCTCGGAAGTGTGCATTTCTTGTTACATTACCTTCCTATATTGCGTTTATCTCCGTAATTACAAATCAAATGCATTGTGGCAATTTCAGAGCTCCAAAAAAGATGAAGGGTAACGTAGCGAAAATGAACCGAACTCAGCTTACTTTACAGTACTCATAGATTCTTCTCAAGATAACTTACTGGTACAACCTTCAAGTTTCTCCTTTAAAACATGTTTTCAACTATTGTTATTTGATTAACAAAACATTCTTGGTTGCAGACTGATTACATATTTGGCTTTCGTTTATTTTATAATTAAGGTATTTCAATTTCTCATTTTAACATAAATATTCAGTGCATAGATATGTTATACATTTGTATAGCTGTACTTGAGACAATATTCTAAAGATGAAAAGGAACAAGAGCGTGTAGCTCGCAGAATGATCCTTCACGATGAGCTTAAACTTCCATCAATTAGGAGAAGTTTAAGAAGTTCACATAACTTCGCTTTTCTGTGTTTTCTAATAAAAGTTTAAAGAGTCTATACTGTGGTGGTCGGGTATAGCGGATTACTCTGGTCAACATAAACCTGCAAAGTTCAAAGCAGTCTATCACATGGAAGTGCTAACCTACATGCATGGTCGTCATCACTAAGATGGTACAGTGGCACTGCCTGTACCAAGGCAGGAATATTACAGTTGTTTTCCATTGTTTTCCATTCGTTTGATGTGATTGAGCTTTTGAATTTGCCATTTTAAAAGAACTTTCTGTTTTGAATTTTTCTGGGATTTCGGTATTTTTATTATTTTACTTTTTATACTTATTTTATGCACGAAGCTTGTCCGATACTCGACGAAGGTGTGGATTTCATATACGTTTACAAGTGGGCCTTTATCTGCCTATTTTTATGCAAACACGCAATACAATGTAAAGCAACCAAACTAAGGGCACGGCCATTTAATTATTCTGAGGGGAGCAGGAGGATTTCTTTTTTGGATTGAATTTTCATGTTTATTTGTTGGTGTGCATGCGTTTCTTCTTCCGTGACTTTGCAGCGCGAAAATTTATTTTCACTTTCGTACACACTTGTTTCCTGCTTTTTGTGTTGCAGAATACCGGTATTCATTTGTATCCTGTCTTGTGCAAGATAATTTATATTCAGTTTTAACCAGATAGGATATTTATTTTGAAAATCCCCCTGCCTCCCCTCTTCCACAAAATCAAATGGTTTCCCCCTAACAGCTTTAAGAAGCCGGTGCTGCAAATATGGAACCTTTGAACAAGAATGAAAAAATGCATCAAAATGGTGTTTAACGACAGTTAAAAGAACATTTGAATGACGTCAACTTTAACAAGAGACATATGGAATGGTATTTCAAAATGATATGCCAAAAATACAGGAAAGCCGAGTTTTGAACCCGGTTAGAGTGAGAATAATTAACTCGACTCACCATGGTCAGCATGACACCGCAGTAAAGGGAGGAACCTTCGCAAAATAGTTCTGCTAAATGACATATATACATGTACATTTAATGAGATTGAAATTTGGTTTGCAATTATTGGAGCCTATATATTCAGCTTGATAACCCAGTCTACGTTGGAACTCCGTTCAAAAATATATACATTATATAACTCAAGACCATATAGAATAACATTTTTACCGTGTTCTTATTTGATTTGTAATAACGGTGGAAGTCGGTACAGCAGCATCCGATATATTTTCAAAACTTTACGTGACCCTACATCCGATATATTTTCAAAACTTTACGTGACCCTACAAATGATTACAACAAATATTGCTTCCAGCTGGTCCTGTGCTATAAAAGTAGACTATTTTAACTAATTTTTGATTCCATTCAAACTAGATTTTTTATTTATTCCTGGTTTTTTTGTCGTTGTCTGTATTTCGAAAAATAGACACGAACAAAGGGATTACAATTTCGCGGTGACTATAAAATCTGGCGCTTTGTATACAAATATCCACCAAACATGGCTCGATCTGAAGCAAAATCTAACATAACAAATAGAGGGAAAACATTAAAAAATAGAACAGAAAAGATTTTAATGGTTCATACGTCAGATAATTGGACTAATCTACCCTTACTCAAAGTAATCAACTGTTACTTACCCTCATCAGAACCTTTCTTGTCGTCTCCTCGTAGTATCCCGTCTATACTATGATTCTGTCTCACTTCCTCTTTTTTCTCCATTTCTTCCTCGTCGCAACTTAAGTCGCCTTCTTCCTCCGAATCTGTTCTGTGAAATTTACTGCGGAGAACTCGACTAATGGAACTTACACTCGGAACCGTGGTTCTGTCACATATATTATCTTTGATTAACCTGTCTCTAATTTCCCAACTAAAAATACCCGGATTCTCTCTCTTGTAATCTTCAATTCTCTTCTCTACCTCTGGTGTCGCCACCCTCGGTTTGCTGCCACCAATGACACCCGGTCTGATACTCCCAGTCTCTTGATAGCGCTGCAGGATCTTACTGACACATCCATGGGACACTCTGAGTTGTCGACTAATTGTACACGGCCTCACTCCTTGGGATGCCAACTCTACAATTTGTAATCGTATATGATTTGGCAAAGGTCTACCATTGATAAAGACGCCACCCAACTGATTTACTCGGCCTTGACCTAAACATATACAAATAACAACAATAATAATATAATTTCGAAATAAAAAAAAAAATGAAAAATTGAAGGTACTAAAAATTCATTAAACTATTTTTTTTTTTGTTTGTTATGAAAAACAAGTTCAAAACTATATGTTTGTGAATTATTATATATATATGCATACTTCACAAAAGGTCAAAACCATAGATAGATACTTGCTGGACGCCATGCTATCAAAATTACAGATATATTAGATTGATTGATAGATAGGCGTATTTTGGCAACTATAGCATCAGTGAAAATGTATTTTGAATTAAATTTTTCATTAATCCCTTGCACATTAATTACAATTTTGTAAGAAGTTATTTGCATGGTCAAGATACGTAATTATTATTATTATTATTATTATTATTATTATTATTATTATAAAATTGGTAGTAGGCGAGAGGAAAAAACTATCACAAAATGAAAATCTGAACAATCTGTTGAAAAGCGAACAAAGTATATATGCATTTGTACGTAACGTACATTTCCTTAAAACCTTTGATAGTTTACAAATTTTCCTTGTATATGCTAAATATATTGCATGTCGGGATATAGTTTTAATGCTTCAAAGGAGTAATTTAGAGTTAGAGCGAAAATATTTCTTTTTGATGGTTATAATTCGATTTATAAATCAATTTGAATACGTTGGTGTTTTACCAAATGCGTTTATTAACAATCATTTTAATAAAAAATAAATTAATTTCCCTTCAAAATTGATTTAACTATTATTAAATTAAGTATTAGAGTAAATGAAATGACAAAATGACTAAAGCAAAGTTAATCCTCTTATATAAACGAAATGATATAACAAAACGTCCCCGCCTTCCCATCGATTCTGTTTTCATCTTAAAACTTCTGTATCATTTACGGGACCGAGTGGATAATTTCTTTATTTTCCGGGATCAATTTTGTTCCGAGGTCTCTCGCACCCTATAATCCGCGTAACAGCTTGATAGAGCTAATTTCTGAATAAGACACAGTATTAATACTAACATAGAACCTTAATTATCCTAGAAAATTACTTATTTATCGAATATTGAATGGTGTGCTCAAGACTACTTGAAAATAAGTCTACGCTGAAGTGGGTTTTCTGTTAAAACATGGAAAATCTGTTTGTTACTTGTTCATTTCAAATACGGCACGTGTAAGCAGCAAATTAATACGGCTAAAAGTCAATTGGAAAAACATGTTACACGTGTAGAATACAAGTTAATTCGGCCACTAGGAAATTATACACGCGTTTTTCGGACCCTATATGCTTTTCCGGACAGCAGGGTATGTCTGATGAAAGGACATTTTATATTCCGACATGGTCATTTAATTTTTATTCATATCGCTCACAATGTCAATTTCGATAGCTTTTAGATATATTAATATGCATTAGAAACATAAGGTTCTATTTTTCAAGTTGTAGTATTTTGTAAAAAAAAAAAGATACCATACTTGGCAACATCGGACTGTGAACAACATACATTGTAAAATCTTCATTTCATACTAAGCTTTAGGCGATATTCTCTGGTATAAGTCAAAAGGTAAAACAAATTTGTATAAATTGCTCATTGTTGAAGGCCGCACAGTGGCTTATAGTTGTTAAAATTCTTAGTCATTCTTACCGACCGTGTGAGGGCTGTATAGCCAGTCAAGGTCGTTAAAAACTTCCATCATCATTTGGTCTCTGTCGGAGAATTGTCTCATTGGCAATCATACCACATCTTCTTATTTTTATATATGAAAATATGAACTTATATATATGCAATTGAAGTGGTGCCGCTAACATATTTACAACGTAGACAAATAAAAAAAATAAAAACAATAAATTAATAAATGCAGATCTTATGTAAATCTTAAAAGCACAACAATATAATGGAATCAAATGTTTTCCGATTCGCAATTCAATTTTCAATGAAATTTACACTTGAATTATTCTGTGTTACCACTGTGGATAAACTCTCAAATAAACCAATAAATTCCTTGATTTACATGCATATTGACCTCATATCAATAGAACATGCATACAGGAAACATTTTCTGAATCTCAGTTTTTATTTTCCTTTTACATTGGTGTGTAACGAGTGACAAATATGAAGGATAAACATGATTAAACGGTTAAAAATACAACAAAAATTACATCGTCTGCCAATCTTTTTATTAAAAGTTTTCTAACGCGTTTCACTCAAAGTTATACTGTATTAACGTTTCTTATAGCTTATATTATACAAATTTAGATATATATACAGAATATTTTTCTCACTTCTCTTTTAGTTTTTCAGGACATTTTCTTCAATTTAATGATATATACTACCAGTTATTTCGCATTTGGTATTTGTTTCCGTAAGAATTATATTGATATTTTTATAAAAATGCCACCGTCAACTGATGGCCTGTTTATTTATCAAATCGGAGTTTTACGCTCCTCTGTTTATTGCCACTTAACATTCAATTATCAATTATATAAGTTAATTAACAAGTTGTTTTCATCATGGGACGTTAAATAACATGAAACAGGAGGAGACGAATTTAAATAACAACATGAGACGAATTTAAATAACAACATAGGACAAAATAAGTTTTTACTTAAAAAGACACACATACACATTCATTTGGAATCCTATACAAGATGTTCTATGGTATTTATAAAATACTGTAAATAATTCTTTATTTTCTTATTCAGAGATATGCATGAAAATGAATATTGCATATCTTACATGTATTTTTTTTTCCATTTATCTCTACGAGATGACTGAATAAATTATTATATGAAAACAGAAACACAACTTTAATCAGACACTAGAAAACTAAAATAATAACATTCTGAATCTATATAAAAAAATTATAATAAGTGTATTAATTTTAATCGATTGTTTTGAAGTTCATATATAAATAAAACTGATGCCATATTGGGAAATTGCTTTATATCATTTAGATTAATATCACGGAAATAGCAAGGTTATGACAGGCAAATGCAATTCACAAATGGTAACGTATGGTAGTTTAAAAAGTAAAAAAAAATTCCAGCAAATTATGATTTCATGTATGTAATAGATACTATTGAGACACTGCTATAAAAAGCAAACGCTGCGACAAAAAAAAATGCATTTTCCTCATCGACAAATAAATGAAATTGACTGAATTATATTGTATTTACATTTAACATAATATACAACATATGTCCATTCTTTATATATCATGGAATTATTTTTAGAACCGCGACTTTCAGTTTTAGTTCCTTTTTTATTCAATTATCAAGCGTAAACATTAATTTTCCCGTAAATTCCTACCTTTTATTAAGGCTTCGGCTTCCATGCGGCAATACTCCATAACGAATGTACTTGTTCACACTCGAAATTTTTAACTAGTGTGACGGTCTAAAATAAGTTGTGATCATGAATACTTCTTTTAGTTAATGTATGCAAATTTATTCATAGAGTAGTAAGATTGAAACAATTGACACTTGCCTGGTCAGTTTATCATAGGATATCTATTACAGGGTTATATCAGTTACAATTAGTTTATGCTGATCTAATCGGTAATTAGGCTAGACCAATTAAACGAAATCGCTGAAGACCAAACTAAAACTTCAAAGACAGTTTCAGGTGGGCCAAACGTGGTCTAGGGAATTGTTTTATTAAGAGAGCACGAAGTTTGTTCTTGATTAGATTTTAATCGACGGTTTTTCCATAAGGTTTTCATGTACATATCAAAGTTACAAAGTTTCCGAACTGTTTAATCCATATGGTTAAAATAGTAAGGTCCTTCCCCATGTGTTCAAGTGAGGAAAATCAAAGGGATCTGTTAAATACCATCGAGCAATATATTTTGATCAATGTAGCAAATATAATACTTTTCTTATTTACCGGCATTTTAGTGGAAAGTCGTTTTTAAACACTGGTTTTTTTTAATACCATTAATGTCATTGCACTCTTTAACAGTACTTCTCTGATTCACATACCTAAAGTCAAAACAAAACCTCAAAACGACTAATCTTATTTAACAAGTTTTACAAAGAAAATCGCTTTCAGATTTTTGAAAATGTATTTAAGTATGATGTTGAATTTGAGATTTAATCTTTGTAATATTTTTTTTTTTTTTGGTTCTAAAAAATCTTTTTATTATCAAAAATTTAAAGATAAGTTAGAAAATCAATTAAGAAAATAATTAATATTTGAGCGTTCCTGGAGAAGATAAATCCAGAAAAGCTCAAAGCGCTTCCGACCCACGAAATTTATAAGCGTTATTTTCATTTGGAAAGAAAGAAATTATATACATTATGCCCATCAGAACCTAAACATATAATAGATTATCACGTAAATTAGTCCGTCAGGTTCACAATTACAAGTAAACTAATGTTTAATTTCACAGATAATATACAATATAATTTATTGTTTTACTTTTCAAAGGTTTTGTTTTGATAAGAAATTTTATTTCCATATAAATCGTATCGTACCTTGACGGGAGAGCATACACAAATTAAACAGGGTGTATTTCCGTGTATAAATCACGTAGATTACAAATTAGCCGTGACGAACCATAAACTTACCCACGTTACCCTAAGAAAGTGCTTTTATCTGAAATAAGTATAAATACCTTCCATATGCAGGCCGGGCATCAATCCCAAAGCTGCTAAATGATATGAAAACATGTTGTTCAGCATCTTATTTGGGTACATTTGTTATAAAGTCCACTATTTCAAATATCTAGTCACCTAATTTAGTCCAAATGAATTGTTACAAATTTAGAAAAAGTTTTTCTAACTTTTCAAATAATATTTATCAATTTCTCCTATTCTGGTCCACGTGCGAAATTGTCAGTTTCAGAAGTTGTAAAAAATCAAAATAACGGAATGACTCCTTATAATTATAAATATTTTAGCGTGGAACTAATATTTTATGGCAGTTATGATCATTTCGCCTGATGATAATAAACCATGAAGAAACGGGACAAAGGTTTTTAACATATATATCTGACAATTACGAAGTTATTTTTTATTTGAAACTTGTGGTTGGATAAAGCCTCATCACGTGGTAAAGATGAAAGTATTTTAATCAATTGGCGCAAAAACTAATTTGTTTCACTTATCAGACTTTGAAAAAGCTTCAGGTAAAGTAAGGACATCAGTGGGCGTGGCAAACAGGTAAATGATATTATCGACCAATAATGAACGTCGTGTTAATATTTACTTTTCAATTTCATCTATAAATGGGCGGAGACGAAAAAGGGAATTTTCTGTCATATTGGCTTGGCGGGATGGCTTTATGGTTAAAGATCAAATGTTTAAATAAACACATTGATTTGGTAGAATGATGTGCCCTCCTTTTCATTAATTTGATTAATAAAGATGCACCCAATAACGCGACGGTTCAGAACGTCGGTCACCCGCAAAAACCAAACTCAGTGACACTCAAGTCTTATTAAAATCAATTGATATCATTTTATTTCATTAAATCTGTCTATGATCTGAATATACTTCGTATATAAAGCAACTGACAACTGTTGCATAACTGAATAAAATGTCAATTTCATTTTTTTTATTTATGGATCTATTTTACATCTATGATCATTTGATGTCACATTATCTGTTTTTCTCAATTTATACCTGTTTTTTATACTGATAACTGAAAAGGGTGCTATGAAGGTACATAAATATTTGCCTCGTGTCCGATTGGAAGAAAAAGAAAGTAAGAGGAATAAATCCCAGGACCAAGAGATACATCAGTCCTAGTCTAATATTTTTTTTTTCTAGAAGTGGTAGATAAACACTGCAGTTATACAGGAAATAATAATAAATAGTACAAAGAAAACGTAATTTAATTCATTAGATTTAAATAATGAAGAACATGAGTAAAAAAGGAGTTTATTCAAGTTCAAATATTTGGAGAAAAAAAATCAAACTCTGCTGGCTGAAGTCAACAAAGGAACATTGCTGTGTGATTGTTTATTTCACATTGGCTAGAGGTATATGGGGAGGGTTGAGATCTCACAAAATATGTTTAACACCGCCGCATTTTTGCGCCTGTACCAAGTCGAGAACCTCTGGCCTTTGTGAGTCTTGTATGTTTTTTTTAATTTTAGTTCATGTATATGTTTCGGAGTTTAGTGTGACCTCCATTAGCTGAACTAGTATACATAATTGTTTAGGGGCCAGCTGAAGCCCGCCTCCGGGTGCGGGATATTCTCGCTGTGTTGAAGACCCATTGGTGGCCTTGGGCTGTTTTCTGCTCTTTGGTCGGGTTGTTGTCTCTTTGACGCATTCCCCGTTTCCATTCTAAGTTTTGTTGTATAGATAATTTTTATTCCATTTTTATTTTTTTCGACTGATGACATCCTAAGACTAGCTTAATTAAGACTGCTGTTTGGCTAGACTTACTTTCGGACAAAATTAAGGAAATATCTTATCTTAGAAGACTTTCATTAACCATACTTAGGACCATGGAAGTATTATGTTGACAATATAATACTTCCATGTTAGGACTAACACATGTCATAGGACA